ATATGCAAGCCTCCATTTGGCTTCACATAGAGAAGAGTGCAGTACAACTAAAACTGACTGCCCCAAAAGTAGAAACACAAGCCCACCATTTACCATGAACTGATCCAAGCTGCCCTAGAAAAAAATAAAGCTCCAGAACATCTACAGTACATAGGTGACATCATTGTGTGAGAAAACACAGCAGCAAAAGTGTTTAAAAAAGGAGAAAAAATAATCCAAATCCTCCTAGAAGCTGATTTTACCATCAAAAAACAACAAAGTTAAAAGACCAACTCGTGAAATTCACTTCTTGAGAATAAAATAACAAAATAAACAGCATCAAATTCCTACTAATGTCATCAACAAATCCACAACCATGTCTCCACCAACTAATAAAAAAGAAACACAAGCTTTCTTAAGTGCCATAAAGTTTTAGAAAATACATATTCCTGAATACAGTCAAATTGTGAATCCTCTTTACCTAATCACCCAGAAAAAAAATAATTTCCGCAAGAGCCCTGAGCAACAACAAACCTTTGTTCAAATCAAACAAGAAATCGCTCATGCAGTAACCCATAGCCCAATCAAAACAAGACCAAATGTAAAAAATGTACTCTACTCTACAGCCAATAACCACAGTCTGTCCTGAAGCCTTTAACAAACACTGTCTAGTAAAACTCAAAACCGACTATTAAGATTTTAAAGTCAAAGGTACAAAAGATCTGAAGCCAGATCACTTTGGGCAAGGGATTCCTTCCAACCTGGGCCACTTTGGGGGGATGGGGGTGGAACCAGGAAGGTGGCAGTGTCTGCAAGGGCCGTTAGTGACACGGTGCAGCCTGGTAACTGTGGAATGGAACGGTGGAATGGACAAGAGCTGGCGGTGACAAGACCACACCAGAGTACTCAGTGCATGCGACGGGACAGGACGCACCAGAGCTGTGCTGTGAGGAGTCCCCACACAGCACACTCGTCTGTGTCTGACCCGGAGCTTTAGTGAGGCGTTATTCGTGCAGCTGACGTCGTGGCCAGACTGTGGGACTTGGTGAGCCAGAGCTTTCCCAAGTCATCTCCAATCCCTGTGGCTTGTGCCATCCATGCCAGTTTGTGGTATTTGGTCACCAGAATAATTTACTAGGAGTCTCCAGTCATTTTGGCAGGAGCCCTCGAAATCAGACGGCAGGGCTTGCTGTCCTGTAGCCTTCCTGAGGCTTCTCTGTCGCAGGTGCCTTCAAGGCACAAGTACACAATTTGTTGACCCAGAGATTTCCCATGTCATCTCTTTAGAAGGTGCCCTCAAGGCCACATTGGATCATGGCGGGCAGATTCCTCAACCTGTTCAAGGTGTTCAGCTGGAAAAGAAACACAGACGCTGGAGCTGCCCCAGCACAACACCCGGAAGAGCCAGAGCAGTTCCAGCCTCTGCAGGATGGTGAGTGGCAGAGCTGGGCCACAGGGCTGATGGCTGCAGCCAGCTGGGCCCTGCCCCATCCCATCCCATCCCATCCCATCCCATCCCATCCCATCCCCTGTGGACATGGCCAAGGACAGGACGGAAGAGGGGCCAAGGCTGCCCCCCCAGCAGTGGCCGTGCTCCATCCCGTGAGCCACCCCAGGGCTGTCCCTGCCTGGGGAGTGCAGGGCTGGGCTGTGTTCTCCGGCTTCTCCCGCAGCCCCTCAGCTCTGGCTGCTCTTTGCCAGATGCAGCCATGGACCGAAGACAAGAGCAGGAGCCCACCCGTGGCCGCTTCAGCAGAACGCTGAAGGTACCTGCAGCCATCCCCACCTGGGCTGGGCCTGCTGTCACTGCTGAGCCCAGCACCACGCTTGGAGCACTCCATGGAACATGCCTCTCTTCCCTGTCCTTTGTTCTCCGTACACAGAGGTTCCGGAAATTCCTGCCAATTCGGCATCGAAAGATCAGCCCCATAGGAACTGAGGGCACAGCTGAGCCTGACTCCGGGCTGACCGAGCTCCAGGCAGAGCCTGATGTCAGCCCAGATTCAGCTGAGCCCTCAGAAAACTCCGATGCTGCCGTGAGTGACAACAGGGCAGAGGCTGACGTGGCGCTGACCGAGGACATGGCCATTCCAAACACCGGAGAGACTCAGGGCATCACAAATACTGACACTATGCCCCCTCCCACAGTGAGTCATGCACCCAATATGGATTTTTTTGAAAGGGAATGTTTCTTCTGACCAGCAGGTAGCCAGCCAGGCGCCAGAACTGGAGGTCTCCCACAATCATGTGCCCCTTCAAGCCACATCCACAGGGCCCCCTCAGCATTTGAGGCCAGCACAGTGTGGTGGGAAGGGAAGCACTTCTTGGGGGAAGCTGGGGAAGTTGCTGCCTTGGACAGCACTCCAAGTCTTCCCCATTCCTATTCCAGGTGCCAGCTACTGTGAGGAACATTCACCAGAGTCTCATGTGCTATGTTACGGTGGATGCCACACTGCCCACTAACATTGTGAAGCTGGCTGAACAACACCCTATGGATGTGGTGCTGACCCTCCTGCGCTGTGCCCCATCGTGTGACAGGTATGGGGCCCACGTGCCTTGAGAGCTCAGGGCTCCCCAGCCTTTAGGGCCCATTGCCCTGCACAGCCTGTCCAATGGGGTCTGCCCAACAGGAAGAGATGTCCCCTCTGTTTCCTGAGGCTGCTGCCAATGCTCCCTCCCTGCCCCTCAGGGCACCGGGGCTCTGTCACCTGGGACCCCACACCTACACAGGGCATGGCACTGTGACTGAGACACCCCTGACACACAGCTCTGATCCCACAGAGCTGCTGCAGTGATGTGGAAAACCATAGCCTCATCAGGACCAGTGTTGGAGAAGGTGCTGCCAACACTGCTCCGTGTGATGGAGAACTGGCCACTTTGCAGCATCTGCACCTCTGATGGGGACAATAAGGACGTTTTTGCTCTGGCTGTGAGTTTCTGGAACTGGCCTTGACTGTCCCCTAGGTTGCTTCTCCAGCAGCTCTCCATGCTTTCTTTGCCTCAGGCTGGGCTGAAACCTGGGCTAGGGGCAGGCTCAGGGGACACTGGGCCCGCTGTTCCCCTGCATCTCCCCTTGGGCTTTGCCCCATGGACACCTCGGCACTGAGCGCTGTCTTGGTGCGCTTCTTTGCAGGCAACTCTGGTGCTCTGGGTGATTATGCAAGTGCCCCAGAGCCATGAGGTGATAATGCATGTTTGCCCATCTCTGTTTACGGCTCTGCTGTTGCACGTTTTCACCACCACACAGCTGATGCCAGCAGAAGTTGATAACTTCTGGAGAGAATGCCAGGAGCAACACCACCTTCCCAGAAAACCCAACAGGTGCCAGTCCTCCTCTCCTTCCCATGCCCTTGTGGCTGACACCAATACACCCAATGTGACCTGGCCTTTGCTCTGCACACAGGTTTGCAGTGCAGGCCATGAAGGCGCTGCTCTGCTGTCTGCAGTATGACAGTGAGCTGATGGCCATGGAGCGCAAGTGTGGCTGGGAAACGCTGCTCCGTGCTGACACCCAGCACTATGCCGTGGGTCTGTTGGCCAGGTGAGACCCCTTCTCGCCACTGCCTCTGAAATGTGTGCCCTGTGCCCAGGGCTCCCCACCACAGTCCCTGTGGTCATGGCCAAAGGGCTTTGCCATTGAGGGATGGCTGAGCAGACTGGAAAAGGCTGAGAGGAGGGTGCCCAGAAGGAGCCTCTCCCAAAGCGCCCACGGTCCCTCCAGGGATGCTGGGAAAAGACCAGATCTCCATGAGTCATGGACCTGGGAGAGGTTTGGCCCCCCCACTTCAAGTCTTGGTGCCATTTTCCCCCTTCCAGGGTGATGCGCCGTGGCTTGATGCCCTTGTGTTGCCATGTCGCATACCAATTTCTCCGGAGGCTCATCAGGGAGGAGGCACGTTGGGATCTGTCCACCCTGGCATTCCTTGTGGAGGTGAGCCCCATGGCCAGCACTGCCTCGCTGAGCTGCCTGCCAGCCCTGTCCCCTTGCATAGCCACAGCTGCCTGGGACGGTGCCCGCGCCCTGTGCTGCTGCCTGGGCCCAGCCCTGTGCAGTTCCAGGCTCCTGCCGGCCGGGTCCCCTGTCACTGCCCGGTGCCTTTCAGGTCCTGGATTGCCTGGACTTGCGTGAATGTGGTGACAGTGTCCTGGAGATCGCGTCAAGGCACCTGCAGAGCGAGTGCAGGCAGAGGCGTCGCCTGGCGCTCAGAGGCCTCGTGGTGCTCAGCAAGGAACCCTCGATGGTGAGAATGGGGCAGCAGCTGAAGCTGTGCTGGGCAAAGCAGCTCCTTGGGCTGGCTGGGCTTCAGGAGCTGAGGCAGCTGCTCCCAGCTCTCCTGCCTCACCTGCCTGAGTGCTTTGGGACAGGCCTTTGGCCTCTGGGCCCAGCAACAGCAGGGTGGGGTTGCAGTGCCAGGGCGGTCTTGGCGCTGCAGCCGTTCAGGGCTTCCCAGCACAGCCTTGTGTTCCACACAGGCCAGACCTATACACAGCCTGTGTCGAAGCTTCCTGCAGCTGCTGAGTGATACAGACGAAGAAGTGGTCAGCATGTCCCTGTCTGTATTCACGAATATGCTCCAGAAAAAAAATCTTCTGTTATCAAGGACTGCAGCTCCCAAGATAGCTGAGCCACTTCTGATGCTTTTTGACCATGTAAGGTTTTGTGCCCTGGCCACAGGCAACTGGCTGCTGCCCACACAACCTTTTGCCCTGTGAATTTTCTGGTCTTTGCCCAGGTGGGCTGGAGAAGTTGGCGCTGAGATCTTTTCCTCCTTCCTTCCTCCAGGACAAAAGCCACGTGCAGGTGCTCTCCATTCACCTCTTCTGCAAGGTGATGGACCTGGTAGTGGATGAGGGAAAAAAGCCCCTGGAGAGACTCGTGAACCAGAGCCTGCTCCCGCTCATTTTGCACTGCCATGATGAGAACTGGCGCGTGGCAAATGTGAGGTTTTGTGTGATGCTGATGGATCTGTGGGAGGGGGCTTGGCTGCCTCCTGTCCTGCTGCCTCCCAGGCTGCGGCCTCCTCCAGGCCTTGGCACAGGGATGCAGCTCCTGCACCCTGGGCTGTGATGCCATCTCTGCATCTCTCCAGGCCTCTTGGGAAACGCTGCACTGTGCTGCCACATTCTTGAACAACACAGATCTCCAGAGGGTGCTGAAAACAGAGAATCTGTCGAAGATCACTGAATGTGTGGTAAAGAACGGCCTGGAAGCCCCAGCCTCAGCTTAGAGAAGCTCCCTGTCCCCAGTGCTCAGTGTGTGGAGCTGGCAGCTGCGGCCCAGTGCTGCACCCAAGGGCTCCAGCCTGCACCCCACACACCTCTCCCTTCCCTGGGCCACACGGCTTCTTCTCCAGGCTCCCGTGGCCCCGAGCCGGCTGCTGATGGAGCCCCGAGTCACTGGGGCTGCGGGGCGGGCCGGCACCGCGGCTCCCCGGGCAGCAGCCGGCCCTCTGCCCCCTCCAGAGCCCGGCACCAGCTGCTGCTGCCCGGTGCCTCAGGGCTGGGCGGGCACGGGAGGCCAGGGCTGGCCGCAGGCAGCGCCCGGCCGAGGGGCAGAGCCTGCACCAACCCTTCCCTCCTGCCGCTCTCTGCAGCTGGCACAGGACGAGAGCCGAGCGGCAGAGTACCTGCACCGGGCATTGCCATATCTGGATAGCCCGCAGGAGCCCCTACGAGAGGCAGCCGTCAGGTTCATCGGTGAGCCACGAGCCCGGGCTCCCTCCCCACTCTGCCCCACCGCAGCTCGGCCCTGGCCCCGGCTGCTGCTGTCCTGGCAGCGGCACCCGGGCCCGGTGCCCTGGAGCCCCGTCTACCGCTGGCAGGGAGCTGTGCCACCACGGCCCTGACAGGCTCTGTGTTCCCAGGGACGGTCAGGAAGTTCATGCACAAGGGCGCACAAGGAAGAGCTGCAGACCCTCAGTGAGGGTGAGTGAGAGCAGCGGGCTGGCACTGGGGGCTGGCAGGGGGCAGTTGCAATGCCTGGGATGGGAGCTGCAATCCCTGGCCCAGCTGCAGAGTGCTTCATTCCCTGTCTGGGTGAGGGCGGTGTGGGCGGAGAACAGAGAGATTTCAGGGACATGGGTGGGAGTTGTGGCCAGCACCTTCTGGCTGATCCTGTTGTCTGGTCCTCTCTTGTGGCCATTGCAAGAGCCAGGTGGAATGTCCTTGGCGGGAATGTCTCCTAGGATCCCTGCAGATGCATGCCCTGACCATGCCACTCGTCCTCTCTGTTCCAGCCATTCAAGCCCCAAGGACAGACACCACTCCATCCCACTGCAACCTGAACAGTCAAGCTCAGTTTGCCAGTGAACAAGTGTCCCAAGAACAGCTGCAGGACACACTGAAGAGGACACCACCTCCCAGTGCCACTGGAGATCCAGGCATAGCTGATAACTGGCACAGCTGAGCCTGTGGGATTCTCATGGGGCTTCAGCTCTCTCCCAGCCTGTAGATAGCTCCCTCCAGCCTTCAGACTGTGCCCATCCCCTTTTTTCCCTCTGTTCTTCCTCCCTTTTGACAGCTCCTTACCTGCAGCCCTCCGTCTATGCCCATCCCCTTCTTTCCCTTTCCAGTTCATCCCTTTGCTTCACCTTACATTAATAAACAGTTTGCCTTTTTCACTTAACCTGTATCTGTCTGGAGTTGAAGGGTCACCAATCTGGAGCGCTGTGACACACAGGCCGCTCCTGCCGTTCTCTCCTGCACCGTGTTTTGTGCAGAGATGCAGAGGAAGGAGCGAGGATCAGGCTGGAAAGGTCCCTGTGCTGAAGGCTCTGTTCCACAGCATTGTGGAGTTAAAGGTCTCACTGAAGGCCAGTAGTGGGACAAGGAGCCTGGGTGTGTCAGGGACCAAAGTTGTGTCTAAGGCTCTGCCGTATTTGGTCCTCTGTTGTGCACGTCAACCGGATGGGGAAGAACAGACTTTGAAGGAAACCTTATGGGTTAACTGCTGGGAATTTGATCCTTTACAGGAACAATGGATTTATCAATTGATGGGAAGTTAACCTGTGAAAGAGGAACAGTAACAATGAGGCTTTTATTGGCATGGTGACCTTACCTCATGTACTGGCCAAGGGTGAGATGACATGGTAACTGGGAAAATTCCACTCCAGGGGAGAAGATAAGAGGCTTGGTTCTACAGTGGAGAGGCAAGAAGGACAAAATGCACGCCTTTTGATGCAGGGCATGCCCTGAAGGTGCATGGCCTGTCTGCCCCTCCCATTGGAGCACCATGCTCCATCTCCTGCCGCTGCCCAGTGGCTTTGCACCAATCCAGGGGTTGGTAGGTATTTATTTGCAACAGCAACTAATAAGGTAAGACTTGCTTTGCAATTTTGTGCACGGGCATCTTCCAGAACCCATGATGTTCTTGGCAATGAGGATGGGATGCCCAGAGCACAAAAATCGATGGTGTTTTGAGCAGGTGTGAGTGAAAAATGGACGCATGTTTGAGTGTGGGTAAGAGAACAGGGACAGGGTTTGGGCAGTGGAGCGTATGGCTGTGTAATATATGTTGGTATAATTCGTGTTTTATTGTACACATATAAAATCAAGTATAAAAGCATGTTTTATGTAAAATAAAAACCACAAGCAACTTAAGATTGCAAAAGCAGCTGCTGGAAAACTAGGAATTTGCAAGAGAATGACCCAGCAATTAAGATAACACTGAGAAGAGCTGGGTCCACCAAAGCAAAATAAGCGCTCTAACAACCCGGTGATTAACGCCTGATACTGACCTGATGTGATTCTCCAGGAACATACATCTCAATGTTGGTTTCCCAAAAAAAACTACACAGACTAAAAAAAAAAAAACCAACTCACCACGATTCTACATCTCAAAGCCTGCTTCCCGAAAAAACACTCAAACTTCATCTCCTTCTCAGAAAACACATCAGCAGTCCAGCAGTAGAAATATGAATATGTAACAACACAAGAAAAAGAAAAAAACTGAAACTGCATAGCCTCAAGCTGAAAAGAATGGTATAAAACACTGCTGTCCAAAAGACAAGTTGTGAACTTGGGGGTAATCAGTGTGGCAGAGGCTGATTCAGAGTTCACCCAGCGCCGATCCCTGGTTCAACGCTGACAGTGATTGTGGTTGTTTCCATGATTGGATTTTACAGATTTTTCAATAAAATCCTTACTGATAAAATTTGGCTGAATTTCATTTATAACAGTTGCACCCTGAGCGCGGGCGCGTAGCTGCAGCAAGGAAGCAGTGCCGTGGGTGCGTGTGCCAAGAGCAGGGCCTGCTGAGTGGGGCACACAGCTGCCCCAGGACAGTCTGTTCCGTGGGCAGCGGATCATGTGGTTGCAATTTCACAGCAACACAGAGCTGCACAGAGTTCTTGCCCTTGTTAGCGTTCAGGATCACACATAATCACAGAATGATTATATGAAGGTGCTTTGTTAAAGAGCTCTGGGTGTCAGGTGTACACAGACCCAAATCTGACCCAATTTGGTTGTGAGTTGAACATGTTTTATACTCTATCGTTATGCAACTTACATATTAATTATTAAACTTACATTGTTCTCTTGTATGCATTTTTTTTGCCCAAGCATGGATTTCTCGTGATCCCCCCTAGCCCCCTAACATGGTTCCTCATGTTCTTTAAACAATAATTATACCTAATCACATCTAACAATTGTATCATTTATCATCTACTGACTACACAGGTGCAGTTTGACCTGATCTTTAGCAAGCACAAGGCCTAACATTTCTCAGGGCCTACTTTTCCCAGGTCTTTCCAAACCCAACTTTCTTCCTAAGTCCCCGAATTTTCTAAGATTTTAAGACCTTTTACTATCATTCCCCACTTTGAAAGCATTTTCACTTCACTATAAGTGCAAATGTTTTCACTTGATAGAGTCCTTTGTTTCTGAGTTTATACTTGATGTTCTTCGAATCCTTGATTGATGTAAAGGTTGTCCTGGATGTTGTCACGAATTGGAGAACCAGAAGATGGTGGGGGTGGATCTCGTGTCAGTGCCTTTATTATTTTCTGGTTCCAGGACGTTTTCGTCTGTATTTCTCCTTTTACGATGCTGTAAACTAACCAAATTGCTAAGAATACAATTAGTAAGATTATCACACTCTCAATGATAGATTTAATCCATGAACTCACATTCCACCCTAACCCTTTGAAGATTTTGCCTAACCAATTCATAGTTAATCCTTTTGCTCTTCCTGTGCTCCATGCTCTATTTGTTGCAACTGATTGATGTCATATTCTACATCTGCAGTCACATTTGGGATGTGGATGCAGCAATGATCAATATGTCCCCTTAAAAAACTCACACACTCCATGTTCTTTCAGGAGCAATAAATTGTAATTGTACGTTGAGTTCTTTAAATCTTTCCCCGGTGACTCTTGCTAGTCTATCTACCTGACCTGTTTCTCCATTCTGATAGTTTGCTATCTGCTCTAGGGCCCACCCAAATTTCACTCTACTAGAAGATTCTTGCCAAGTGTTATCTTGATTCTATTCCTATCCTAATCCTTCCTAGCTATGCCTGTGTCTAGCCACTGAGTTGATTTTGCCATTGTTAGCATCCGTACTGAGATTAATTTTTGCAATTTTACCAATGCCTCTGCACCCCAATGACATTTGTTATGTTTAATTTGTAGAACTTCTGTCATTATCAAGGGGGTTAACACTATTTGTCTTTGTGCAGTTACATACCACTCTTCTGAATCCTTTTGTGCATTTAGTAAATGTCCCAATTTCTCATCTTCTATTGAATATCTTGGCTTTGGAGGCAAATTAAATTGAGATACATTAACTTTTAAAGGTATCAATGCCATTGTTGTTTGCACTTCTGGAGCAGCTTGTCGGGCTGTCCAGTCTGCTTTTTGATTTTCCTCACAAATTTTGGAGTTTCTTGATTGGTGTGCTTTACAGTGTATAATTGCTACTTGTTCAGGTTTTTGTACTGTTTTTATTAATTGCAGGACTGCATCTTGATGTTTAATGTGCGTACCTTGAGAAGACAGTAGTCTTCTTTCTTTCTCCAGTGTTCCGTGTACATGCATTACTCTAAAAGCATCCTTTGAGCCAGTCAATATGTTTACCCTTTTCCCTTCACTTAATTCTAGTGCTCTGCTTAAGGCAACCAGTTCTGCCCTCTGGGCAGATGGATTTGCTGATAATGCTTTTGCCTCCACTATTGTACTGACTGTTGTTACCATATATCCAGCCTATCTGGTCCCGTTCTCCAGGAAGCTGCTTCCGTCTGTGAATAGCTCCTACTCTGGTAGCTCTAGTGGGATGTCTTTCAGGTCTTCTCTTGCTGAATAGGTGTACTCTAGTACCTCTAAACAATCGTGCTCTAA